GATGATCTTATAATCGTAGTCTTTCAAGAGGTTTACCCAATGCCTCTATCTCATGTTCAATTCTCTCTGCAAAAATATATATTTCAAACTTTTGTGGTCAGGATAGATTTCAAATGTCTGACCGTACAAATAATGGGCCCATATCTTCAAGGCAAAGATTATGGCAATTAACTCCAAGTCGTGAGTAGCATAGTTGCACTCACGAGACTTCAATTGTTTGGATCCATAAGCAACCAAAACACAACTTAAACCTACGTGAGATGCATCATAGTAAGCCTAAAATCTTCAAGTATTGTCGAAGAGAATTAACACCTGAGATGATACTTTAACTCAACAAAACTTTCATCACATTCATAATCCTATATGAAAGGTACACCCTTTCTGGTGAGACGGGTCAATGGAGCTGCAATCTTGGAGAACCTATTGATGAATTGCTGTTAATAACCTGTTAATCACTGTTTTAACTTTGGATGGATCCACAGAAACTCCTTTGTCCGAAATTACATGGCCAAAAAAGGAGACTCGATCTAACCAAAAAGTGCACTTGCTAAACTTAGTATGCAGCTGGTTTTGACAAAGGGTCTCCAATGCCTGAGATAAATGGACTGCGTATTCTTCTGGGCTCTTAGAATACATTAGAATATCATCAATGATGATTCAATATATGCTAGAAAATCCTATTCATAAGATCCATAAAAGTGGCAGAGGCATTAGTTAGTCCAAAGGGCATAACCTTGAACTCATATAGACTATATCGGCATAAGAATGTAGTTTTTGGAATATCTTCTTCTTTGACCCGCAACTGGTAGTATCCATATCTGAGATCGATCTTTGAAAAAATTTTAATTCCTTGCAACTGATCGAAAAGGTCATCAATACGAGAAAAGATGCTTACTTTTCATCGTTATACAGTTGAGTTCTCTATAATCTATGCACAGTCAGAGGGAGTTGTTTTTCTTCTTCACATATAACACTGAGGCACCCTATGGGGAATGATTGGGGCAGATGAATTTTTGACCAAGATGTTTGAAAAACTAATTTTCTAATTCTGTGAGCTCAGTATGACTCATGTGATAGGCAGATTTTGAGATAGGTTGTGTTCTAAGAAGCAAGTCAAGAGAAAACTTTATCTCCCATGGGGTAGGCAGACCAGGTAGATCTTTCGGAAAGTTACAAATAGTAGAAATAGTGTATATAGTAATATCAACATCTATATTCGTGTTTATTCAAAGGTAAGATAATAGCAAAACTATATTTTTATTTTATTTTTGGTGATTACAAGATTACAACTTTACTTTCATAAGTAATGA